AAATTATGGATTTAAAAATATTCTGTCTTGCCAAAACCGGTTTGGCTCAGTGGATAGAGCATAAGCCTGCAGACTGAAGGATCCCGGGTTCAATTCTGGTTAAGAGCATATACTTTGGTTGTGGGCAAATCCCCAGTAGGGGGTGTGCAGGAGGCAGCTGATGGATGGTTCTCTCTCATGGATGTTTCTAACTCTCTGTCCCTCTCCCTTCCTCTCTGTAAAAAAATAAATAAAACATATTTTTAAACAAATATTCTGTCTTTGTCATTTTCCCCCATTGAGATGCATCTTGTTACAGTGAGTCATAAACCAAGTAGTTAAAGGAGACCAAAGTGATTTTCAAAGTAACTGCCGTGGAAGCAGACAGCAGACTGGATAGAGGTGGTGTCAAGGGAAAACTTCACTTAAGGACAATTGCAGGGAGCACCAGATGGCTAATTTGACTGTTAATTTTAACAACATGTTAACAATATCTGTGATGTCAAGGCCATGACCACATCCAAGGCAGGACATAGAAGAAATTTTTTTAATTCATTCATTTTTTTTTAGAGAGGCATGGAGGGGAGAGATAGAAATATCAATGATGAGAGAGAATGATTGAATGGCTGCCTCCTTTATGCCACCCACTGGGGATCAAGCCTGAAACCCAGAATGGCACCATGACCTCCTGGTTCATAGATTGAGGCTCATCCACTGAGTAATGCTTGAAGCACCAGAGCAGTGATTTTAGAACAAGAGTGTACTATTTGTGATCTCAGGGCAAGATTTTGATTCCTGGTCATGGCCTATACCCAGGTTTTGAGTTCTATCCCTGTTTAGAGAGAATGCAGGAGGCAACCCATCAATAATTCCCTCTCACATAATGTTTCTCTCTCTCTCTCTCTCTCTCTCTCTCTCTCTCTCTCTCTCTCTCTCTCTCTTTCTCTCCCTTCCTCCCTTCCTACCTCCCTCCTCCTCCCCCTCCCCCTCCTCCTCCTCCTCCTCCTCCTCCTCCTCCTCCTTCTTCTTCTTCTTCTTCTTCTTCTTCTTCTTCTTCTTCTTCTCTCTCTCTCTCTCTCTCTCTCTCTCTCTCTCTCTCTCTCTCTCTGTCTCTCTCTGTCTGTCTGTCTCTCTCTCTCTCTCATAAATGCTATTGGGTGAGAATTTAAGAATAAAGAATAGTGGCCAATGTACTCTGACATTAAAATATGAAAACAGCCCTGTTTTTTGGGCACAGTGGTTGGAGCATCAGCCCCGGACTTGAGTCCAAGTAAAGGTCAAGCATGTTGATTGAATATTTGATCCCCTGCCCTGCTCTGGTCATGTAAAGAAGGCAACCAATCTATGTGTCACTCTCAATTGTATGTTTCTCTCTCTCCATTTTTCTCTTTCTCTCTTGTTCTCTCTCTGCTTACGCCCTAACCTCTACTCTTTCAAAAATCAATGGAAAAATATGTTCAGGTGAGAATTAAAATAATAGTAATAAAATTATATCAACAACCAAAGCACTTCCTACATAACAGAACATAGTTAAAATAGTTCCAAATAAACACAGTAAACTATTTTTTAAAAATATATTTTATTTATTTTTGTACAGAGAGGAAGGGAGAGAGATATTGATAGATAGTTAGAAACATCAATAAGAGAGAGTCATCGATCAGCTGCCTCTTGCACACCCCCTACTGGGGATGTGCCCACAACCAAGGTACATGCCCTTGACCGGAATCGAACCCCGGGGTCCTTCAGTCCCCAAGCCGACACTCTATCCATTGAGCCAAACCGGTCCTGGCCAGTAAACTATTTTTTAATATATTTTATTGATTTTTTTGCAGGGAGAAAGGTAGAGGGATAGAGAGTTAGAAACATCAATGAGAGAGAAACATTGATTCAGCTGCCTCCTGCACACCCCCTTCTGGGAATGTTCCCACAACCAAGGTATATGCCCTTGACCGGTATTGAACCTGGGACCCTTCAGTTCACAAGCCGACCCTTTATCCACTAAGCCAAACCGGTTAGAGCAACACAGTAAAATATTGCCAAAGTTTTGGATGTTTGCTGAAGTCACTAATTAATGAAATAATCCATCCTATCTCTTTGTAAGTTAAAAATAAAAGTTCTTTTAGCTTACCTGTTTTCACCTATGTAGAAAAGTCCCTGTAATTAAAATTAATTATTCAGCCCTAGTCGTTTTAGTGCAGTGGACAGAGTGTCGGCCTAAGGACCAAAAGGTTCTGTTTCCATTCTGGTCAAGGGCATTTACCTTGGTTGCAGGCTCCTCCTATGTCTGGATCTGGTCCTGGGGCATGCAGGAAACATCCAACCAATGTACTTCTGTGACGTGGATGTTTCTCTCCTTTTGCTCTCTCTTCCATTCTCTAAAATCCAATAGAATAATGTCCTCAGGTAAAAAAATTTTTAAAAAAGGAAAATAAATAAAAATTAGCTATGTATGAAAGTTTGATTTCACAGAAAAGTTTTCTATGTATATTACAATAATTTTAAATTTATACTGAAGAGGTCTATAAAATGTGTGTAATGATGGTCAGCACGAGTAACAAATGCACACAGAAGGGATGTGGCTTAGCACCCTGAGACGATTAGCCAGCACAACCAATTACAGCTCGGGAAGTGGTGTGACCATGTGCTAATCATTTGCTGAACATTGTTTAGAAGCAGTGATCCCTGGATTTCAGTATGTTGACTATAGTTGTAGACATGTAATATTTATTTATGTCAACAAAATGTCTAGTGTTTTTTTCAATATATTTCCTATTCCCTAAAATTTGTTAAAAATAACAATGAATTAGTTAAAAAATAACAAGCTGTCAATTTAATTATAAGAAACTAGGGGTCCAGTGTACGATATTTATGCCCGGGAGAGGGCTCCCTCAGCCCAGCCTGCCCCCTCTCACACACTGGGAGCCCTCAGGGGATGTCCTATTAATGGCTTAGGCCAGCTCCCCTTTGGACATGGACCTAAGAAGCTGCAGTCTGGCCTCCCTTTGTGGGAGGCAACCAGGCTGATCAGGGGGAAGTGCCAGCCCCATCACCCCATTGCTGCTGCCACTGGCAGCCACCACAGTCGCCACTGGCAGCCACCACAGTCGCCAAGGTGTTTTCATCAACACAGACTCTAGTCCCTTCACCATAAAAATATGACAACTTTCTTTAGGCATTTTCAAGATGTGTCTTTCATAGGATATGACATTTCTTTCTTTACTTTTCTTTTTATTCTTATCTGAGGATATGTTTCCATTGATTTTTTTCCCCTTTTTTCCGATCCCAGGCTCAGGCCCTGCCCAGGCCTAAAGCCTCCCAAGCCTAAAGCCTCTGCCCCAGGCTTGGGAGGCGCTCCCCATCTCCTCCTGAAACCTCTGATTCCAAGCTTAGCCCCTTCCCAAGCCTAAATCCTGGGGCAGAGGCTTTAGGAGGCTTAGGAAGGGGGCCCCCCACTGTTCAGGTCACAGGATTGGCCCCTTTCCTCCAATGGTCAGCTGGGAGTGACCTGGGTGTTGAAGAGGTTCCCAGGACCCAACCCAAGTCTGTATGCAAATTAACTGCCATTTTTTGTTTGGTTAATTTGCATACTTACTCTGATTGGCTATGGGCATAGCAGAGGTGGGGTCAATTTAAATGTTTATTATTAGGTAAGATTATTTGTTAAAAGCATTTAAAAATTAACAGGCTGCAGCCCTAGATGGTTTGGTTCCTTAGATGAAGTGTAGGCCTGTGGACTAAAGGGTTCCAGGATTGATTCTGATCAAGGGTATATTTCTGGGTTGCTGAGCCAGTTTGGGGTATGCAGAAGGCAGCCAATCCATGATTCTCCTCTTTGGTATTTCTATTACTCTCTTCCCCTCTTTGAAAACTAATAAAAATATTAAAATATTAACAGAGTATCAACTTTTACATATGACATAGAACCCAGAAACCTTGCTTATTAAATTCTAAGTCTATTAAAACAAGGTCCATAAAATCAAGAGTTTTTATAGAGTGATTTCACTTTATACTTCAAAATTTATCTGTATTTTACAAAATGGCAGGTGTCACACACAAAATAAACCAGGCCTCAAGTGCATGTGCTCAGCTATGTAGAGGATCTACATAACTGAGCTTTGGATGGCCTACCACAGCCCCATTCAATGATCTCAGGGTACGGAGGGCCCTTTGCTTTGGTTGAATTAGTAGCCTGCCCCTCAGACATCAGTCATGAAGATAAACAGGTTTGGGCTCTTCAGTTTAAAATTAACCTAAGGGCTCAGTGGTCACAGTTCAATTCCTGGTCAGGGCACATGCCCTGGTTGTAGGTTCAATCCTCAGTGCTGGACATGCAAGAGGCAGCTGATGAATGATTACTTATCATCACTGATATTTTTATCTCTCTCCCATTCCCTTCCTCTCTTTAATAAATAAAAATATTTTTAAAAATGCCGAAACTGGTTTGGCTCAGCGGTAGAGCGTCAGTCTGCGGACTGAAAGGTCCTGGGTTCGATTCCGGTCAGGGGCATGTACATTGGTTGCAGGCACATCCCCAGTAGGGGGTGTGCAGGAGGCAGCTGGTCGATGTTTCTCTCTCATCGATGTTGCAATCTCTCTATCTCTTTTCCTTCCTCTCTGTAAAAAATCAATAAAATATATTTTTAAAATATATATATTTTTAAAAATCAAAATAAGGGACTTTGTTCATATTTGCAACATCCCTTCATCATGGCTCTTAATTAGATTAAATAACCAAGAGAAGGTGTGGCCGAAACCGGTTTGGCTCAGTAGATAGACTGTCAGCCTGCGGACTGAAAGATCCCAGGTTTGATTCCAGTCAAGGGCATGTACCTTGGTTGCGGGCACATCCCCAGTAGGGGGTGTGCAAGAGGCAGCTGATAGATGATTCTCTCTCATCGATGTTTCTAACTCTCTATCCCTCTCTCTTCCTCTCTGTAAAAAATCAATAAAATATATTTTTTTTAAAAAGGAGAGAGAGAGAAGCTGTGGATAAGCTTCAAGATGGCTGCCCCTCAGTCCCATCATGCTCCTTCTGCTGGGCCACCTTGACAGTCAGAAACCATCCTTAGGTTGAGTGTCATGATATCTAAGAAAAACAAATTCAGGTACAGAATTACCATGCAGTATCACAGTGAAATGTCCTATATAGACTTTTTCAACCTCAATGAATTGTTTATTATAGTAATAAACTCCTCTGATTTTATTGGTAATAAGTTGAAATTTTGACCTCTAAGGTCATTACAAACTGTGAACCTGACATTAGTGAGTTTTTTTAAATTTAATATCATTCAGTACTGTGAGTTATGTGGCACTGGTTTGGCTTGTCATATGGATTCATTTGTTTTAGAATATTAATAAAATGTATTAAAAACATACAAAATATCATGGACTTAATCCGTAATTACAAAATATTTTCATATCTTGGGTTAATAATATGTGGTATAGTTTATGAAATGATATCCCAGATTTTAGAACATTTAAGTTATTTCCTGTTTATTTATTCATACACTGAAAAATGCTACAGAATACATCCTTTGAAAATATCTGTTTGTGAAAAATTCTATTGGAAACATTGTGGGAAGACCATGCTGTTGGGTTAGATAATATGTAGATACAAGGTTTTGAAGTTACCACTGGGCTGTTCTGATACAGAGATGGTCCTGCCCTGGCTGGCTGACTGGGGCCTCTGAGCAGGTTTACTAAACCACCCACTGAGTGAGAAGTGTGGTGAGGTGGACACAGCTCAGTCCCAGGGAAGGGAAGAGAGGGCTTAAAAGGCTCCTGCAGCTCCCCATAATTAGCAGCCAGAGCAACTCCATCTATAGGCACCTGTCATTCCTAATGGAACAGTAAGGACACTTAAGGACCATCGAGATTATAATCATAGTGACCAGAAGAACTCATCAGAGAGGACAGCTTGGCCACAGCCAGGGATGGTGGAGGGAATGGATCCCCAGCAGCCTGGGAGAGGCAGGCACAGGAGGAGAAAAAGGACCAAAACTCTTGGTGGTGGTGGTGGTGGGATGTTTGGGTTCAGAGGAGGAGTGGAATTTCAATCAGATTGTCCTCAGGATAACCCCTATACCCTTCACACCACAGCTCTACCAGCAGCTCCACAGAGAAATGAAGCTCAGGTTCCTTTGCTGGGTTCTGCAGAGGGAGGAGCCAGCATCAAACAGCTGGGCACCTCCCACTCCTGTCTCTGGGTAGCATGGGGCTATGGCTCTTGGCTGCAAAACTACCACAGGAAATTCTCCAGAGGTCAACCCGGGTTTGTGTCTCTTTCTTCTCAGCACTGTCACCTGCTACTGGGTGGTAGCTAAGGGTTTTATTGTCCTAGCCAGAGCTGGACCCGATTACCAAAAAAGGCCTCAAGTTACTGAGAGGCTGTCTGTGGATGGGGATATCTACGATGGCTGTGTTTGGTGTTTATAGATAATAGAAAAATCACCTTTCCGTTAAAAACTGATACTTCCATTAAAAACTGATACTTTCCGTTAAAAATGTGATCAGCACATTTTCACTTATTTTTATTATTTCATTTTTGCACAATAAAATTACTCTTTTTAAAATCTAATGAGACAACGTATCCTAGTACTTTTTATAGATTAATCACTTTCGCCTAAACACATGACCAAAACATGAATAAAACACCACCAGTGATGAGAAAATTGAAAGCTTTTAGTGTATACTGTTTATTTGTGTGTGTTTTTATGAAAGCAGTTTGTACATTACAAAAAGCAAAATAAAATCTTAAAGAGAAACAAAATTTCCAGTAATAAAACCCTATAAAAACCACCATTAGCTATTAAAATTAAAATATGGTAAAAGCTTTTTATTTATAAAAACTCACGTATTCTTTCACCTGCTATTATTTCAAACATAAGGGAAGAACCAAAGCATATAATCAATAAAATGGGTGATGAATAATGATGTTTAGTTAATGTTCTAATTACATAAATGTCCTAATTATATGAATGCTATCTTATTTTGAATTTGAGTCTTCATACAACTAAAAATTATGAAGATGGTTCCCATCATATTGAAAAATAGAATTTATGTAAATTTTAAAAATACAATAATTAAGACTAAATATTTGTTGAAGTTTTTATTTATTTTTTTAAAATATATTTTATTGATATTTTGCAGAGAGGAAGAGAGAGGGATAGAGAGTTGGAAACATCAATGAGAGAGAATCATCGATTAGCTGCCTCTTGCACATCCCCTATTGGGGATGTGCCCACAACCAATGTACATGCCCTTTACCGGAATCGAACCTGGGACCTTTCAGTCCATAGGCCGATGTTCTATCCACTGAGCCAAACCGGTTTTGGCTATTTGTTGAAGTTTTTAATCAACAGGTTAATTACAGCTATAGAGGGGGTGAATTGTATGAACGGTGTAGAGAAATGACACAGGGCTTCACAGCTAGACTAATAGAGCAAAAGCTAGGGAGTGATATTGAAACATGAAGATGTTGATATAGCATTAGGTACTTAACATATAGACAGTATAATATATGAGTAAATGTAGCTCTAAACAGACATACCAAAGAAGATGAAGAGAATACTGGTCTGAACATCCTGTGAATTTTCATCTAGTAGAGAATATGGATAACACTGAAGTGAGAATTACAAAGGAATGCACCAAACAGGGTATTAAGTAACGTCACTTCAAACTATGGATTATTAAATGAAGAACGTGTAGAATATAGTTAGCTGAAGCTAAATTAGAAATTTATTTTTAAATTGCCATTAATGTGCATGTGTGGGGGGGGAGGGGGGTGTTAAATTTTTTCCATTGTGTCTCTACAACCATGTCTGTTTGGAAAGAGAATGAATGATGCCTGCTCTCTTGCATTGATTTTAAGATTGCACACACCCCTGTCATTTCTAATTATATTTTCTCATTATAGTTCACAAATAAAGCAAAAAAGAGAAAACTTATTCTATGCCATGCACCATAGGTGATAATTTTGCTAACCTGAGTAAAGCACAAACCAATACATATGTTTTGAAGATTATTATCCAATATAATAAAGAGGTAATAAACTGACCATCATGTCCTCCCACAAGTTGGCCACCCCCATTTGGTCAAAGATGGTCACCACAAGATGGGTGGCAGGGAAAGGTAGTTGTGGATGATCAGGCCAGCATGGCAGGGCAGTTAGGGGCAACCAGGCCTGCAGGGAAGGGAGGTTGGGGATGACCAGGCAAGCAAGGGAGGGCATTTGCGAGAACCAGAGTGGCAGAGGAGGGCAGATGGGGATAACTGAGCCAGCAGAGGAGAGTAGTTTGGAGCAATCAGGCCAGCAGGGGAGGGCAGTTGGAAGAAATCTGGCTGACAGGGGAGCAGTTAAGCATTGTTCATGTTAGCAGGGGAGTGTTTAGGGGGTGATCAGGCTGGCAGGCAGGTAAGCAGTTGGGAGCCAGCAGTCCTGCATTATGAGAGGGATGTCTCAGATTGGAGAAGGTATAGGTTGGGCTGAGAGTATGTCCTCCTTCCCCAGTGCATGAATTTAATGCACTGGGCCTCTAGTATTTAATAATACAATAAGTAGATATTCAGGAGATAAAAGGGAATTTAAAACAAAAACGAGCAACATATTTGCCTTTATTGATAGTGCACTAGGAGCTACCTTAGATATTGGAGGTCCTAAGCATCTAGAAAGATTCCCACTCTATTTCCAGTCAGAAGTGACTACAGCAATAGATAAACCTGAGATGGGGAGAGAAATAGCAAGAGGAGATTCTACATATTAGGGAACTTTGTGTGACATTTACAAAGGTCACACTTCTACCTTCATAATCCAGGAATACCCCTACTGGACCAGTAGGTTTGGGCACATATTGCAGTAAAGGTGGGAAAGTGCTGAAGACATTGTGATGCATGTACGTTTGAGCACAGCCAAGAAAATAGAATGCCTTATGGAGATGTATATTCTCCTGTACCCAATCATCACAAGAGATTCCTAAAGCCCAATTGCAAGCGTCTCCCACATCTATCTCCCAGTAACGTTTCCCGGAGAGAAAAGTCTTAGCCTCCCAATAAAGAAAACATTCAGATTGTGGAATGGAAAATGGTACTCTTTTAAGACAACATCCAACATACAGGCTTATCAATTCTCCCTGTAGGAAGGCATGGCCGCGACAACATCCATAATACAGACTGGTAGTATCTGCAAAAAAAAAAAAAAAAAAAGTAAATCATGTGGATGCATTGAAAATAGAAGTCCTGATGGAAATCTTGATCTTTCAGGATGTTACTTTATTATGAGGTCACAGCAACATGAGCAATGTTGGTTGTCACATGTAATAAAGGACAGAAGTGACCAATACATGTGCAGAACAACCAAATCCCAAACAGATATTTGGATAATTTTTGAAATTAAAATGTTTAGGGTCAAATATAAGACTCATCTCACCCTGGCTGGTGTGACTCAGTGGTCAAAGTGTTGGTTCACCAACTTAGGGTAATGGGTTTGATTCTAGTCCAGGGCACATCCTGGTTTTCAGGTTCCATCCCCTTCACCTGCATCTCTCTGGGTACATAGTGTTCCTCTCTCTCATTCTTTCTCTCCTCCCTCCCTTCCACTATCTCTAAAAATGAATATAAAAAACTATCCTTAGCTCAGCTCTTGTGACTCAGTGTTTGAGTATAGATATATGAACCAGGAAGTCAAGGTTCTTTTGCTAGTCAGGCCACTTGGGTTGCAGGCTTGATCCCCAGTAGGGGACATGCAGGAGGCAGCTGATCAATGATTCTCTCTCATCACTGATGTTTCCATTTCATTCTTCCTCTCCCTGACTCTTCAATCAATAATAAATAAAAATTTGTGTATGTCTCCTTGGGTGAGTATTAAGAAAAAAATGACTCATGTCTCCAAGTTCACTTTGCATAGTAAAATGGACAATGAATAATATTCTCTGAACTGTTTTTCATTGTAAAAAATTAGGATCAGAAGAACATTTCTTTTAAATAATCACATCATGATTTTGGAAGAAAAATGAAGATTTGCCAGGAGTCAAGCATTTCTCTAGTTAAATTAATGAAAATCCAATTTATGTCCATTTTAATAGTTTCTTAAAATGGTGTTTGCAAAACCCCTCTCCAGTCCCTCTGTCCTCTGTCCTGGCTCTGGGCTGTCAGCATTTTCACATTTAACACGTACCTCTTCAGATTACAAATAAACTGAATTTTGGTGTGCTTTTACTTTATTGTTTATAAAAATATTTCTTCTATTAATCTTTATATATTAATTCAAATTTTTAACATTATATGATCATTATAAAAGTACAAGAAAATTAATAAGATCCAATATATTATATATCACACAAAAAAATTGCTGTTAACATTTGAAAATTATATATACTGAATAAATGTACAGTTTTGTATATATATTGGATAATTAACATTAAATCTGAACATTGTTACACTTATTAAACTGCTCATTTTTGACATCATTTCTTTACCTATAGGAAATTCACTATTTATGAGTCTGAATCATATTTCTGTTTCTTACTATTTTCCAATCTTAGTATTATAAATTTGACTGTAAAGACATGATCCCTAACAAAATGATTATACAGCCAAATGATCTACTTATGTCTGAAAATAGTAACACACTTAATAATAGAGGGCAGATTACCTGCATGGTCCTAACAACACATGATAGATAATGGGAATATAGCCTATGGGCCTGCACTTACCTTTGAACAAGTGGAACCTTGCAATCATCCCTGGGATGGTCACTGCAGTGAGCTCTGCTTTCACAGGCTGGGGCATATGCTCACACACGGCCTCACTCCTGCAAGAAGGAAGAGGAAGTTACTGTTTACAGTCAACAAGCAAAACCACTATTTTTTTATGTATAAGATACTTCAATAGAATTATTTGAATCCATTAATTTGAAAATCCAAAAGTATCACTTTGCCAAATATTTCTCCTTCATATTTCCTTAATTTTCAAGTCTAATGGAAAGTCCATTTGAACCAGAATTCAGTCTAACCCTTTTGTATCTTGTCCAAGAATTTGTAAAGATCCTCAGTCTCTTATGTCTTTGAGGATATTCAAGAGGGAAATTCTGGATTCCACTGAAAAGCTCCCCCTCTGGAAATGATGGGGTTCTCTGAAGACTAATAGACCTATTGCACACTCTCACTGTAGGTGCTGTGAAACTTTTCCAAGGCAGGGCAATCTGCTTCCTAGAGGTAAGTGGTTCTAGAGGTATTACATCATTCTCTTAATGTGATAGAAGACTGGAGAAAAAACAAGCAATGCTTAGAGAAATGGGAGTCACATTTTATTATAATTATGAGCAGGCCCAGAGAAAAATGTGTCTTTCAAATTCTGGGCCCACTCAAATGGAGGAAACTTGCTCTATTTATACTTTTTCCTGTACTTTGTCTCCCAAATTTGGAATGAGACTTCTGGGTCTCCTGAGAAATCAGGCTTGTGTGCTGGGAAGAGGCCATGAGACCATATCTCAAGGACTGGCCTGTGCCAGCATTGACAACACTGTCTGGGGCATAGCTTATTGCCTCTCTGGAATGGGAGTAGTCTTATTTTCCTAATTATTTAAGCAAGCAAGCATTTACAGAAGACAAAATAGCAGGGTTAAAAAATTCAAACAGCAGTTTTATGTAAGATGGATGCTTCAATACTTAGCACATTCTCCATCATATATGTAGAATTTTGAAGACTAAACAGGAAATTGGGAATTAAGGGGTTTTCTTTAGTTTTTTTTTTTTTGTTGTTGTTGTTGTTCTTGTTGGTTTTTTTTTTTGAGTGTGTGTGTGTGTATTTGTTTTTTGTTTGCAATTTATCCATTGAAACTGATGAATTAAATCAGTCAACATGGCCATGAAAAGAGACATCTACAAAGAGATGAGGAAGGGGAAAATAGATACAGGGAAAAAATTCAATCAAGATCCCAGTAAGTTCTGCCTTCACTTTATCATATCCTGCCTGATATCTGTGAAAAGTCTGAAAGAACATTAGTTGGTATCAAGGTATAGACTCACCTTTGCAATATGTCTCCAAAATCCTGTGGAGAAAAATAGAAAGTTTTAGTGCTTTTTACCAATGACTATTCCACTAGGTCCAGAGGGAGATTAATATATTTTTTTCATTTAGTTTTCTCTTATTTTATTTTTTGCTCTTTTGCTTATTTATTTTTTGCTCAATCCCTCCAGGATCCTGGTGGGCAATTTTGAGGTAGTTCCAGAAGTTATTATTTCCCTAATCTGTTTCTTCCTGGGAAACATTTCTATTTCCTCCCTCTTGTTTACCATATAATCATAAACTCACGTCCTGCTGGAGACTGATTCCTGGAGACTTTCCATGGGCCAGAGAAGGGGGAAGAGAACTGGGGAGTCTCTGTACACTGCTGTAACCATGATTAAGTGTCCAGCATCTTGTCTATTTCCAATGTGGTTACACCCAGAAATAAAAGCAACACAAGTGTAGATTCCCAAATAACCCCATATTGCCATGTCTATAATTATCCTCAATACCAGTATGTACTGGTATTGAGGATAATACATGTGCCCTTTAATGAAGCCCAAATATATCATTGACTTTTAGAGGGGGAATCTAACTCAGGATTCCTTTACCATCCCACAGAGTTTTGTTTTGTATGGATAATGTAGGAGAACTCTTTGGTTTGTGGAATTCCATGGAGGAGCAATACCCTTCCAACAAAGTAACTGAGGCTATGGAAATAGGTTGTTTGAAACAAATGCCATAAAAGAGGTGATGAATTTCCGATGAAGGAATGCCAGTGCACGTGAAAGTTTAACACCCCACTTCTGAGTTCTTACCAGGAGCAGCTCTACATCTGATTTATGGCACATTTCCTTCAGCTCTGTATACATTCCTCTTAAAAGCTCCCTCTTATGTGCCATGCTGGCTTCACTGGCCTTAAGTTGTTCAAAAATCTTGTTGCCTTCTCTTTTCAGTCTCTCTAAATGATTATCCTTTTCTGGACCCAGCAAGAGAGACAAATTACCATATTCAGTTCTGATCGCTTCGCTCTTTGAGTTCACATAAATCTGCAGTGACATGGAGTTAGTCAAAACATGAACCCTTTCATTCATCTCCAACTGTATCTCATTAGTACTTCTTTGCCTTATAAAAATCAATTATATTTAACCATTAACCCTCAGTCTTGCCTAGTCTCAAAATCCACATTTTCTCATTCTTCTTTTCCATATATATTCTTCCATATATTTTAAACAGCCAATTATTTCCAATTCATTCATAATGAAGGCTTTGATAAGATAATCACAAAGAAAAACAAATGTGTGTTTTTTATCTTCAAGCCAATCCTAATACATAAAAACCCTGGTCCATCATGACTGGAGGCTCAGTCCTACAGTCAGCACTGGGTAGCATGGCAACCCTCCACTGACTGATGAGAGAGCTGTGACTCAGGCCCAGATAGAGCCTTGAAAAGAGAAGCAGGATTTGTCTGATCCATAGCCTGTGTGTCAGCTGTTGGTGAGCACTTGCATCTCTCTCTTCTCTCTCTCTCTCTCTCTCTCTCTCTCTCTCTCTCTCTCTCTCTCTCTCTCTCGATGTCAGGCCAACATTTGGGCCTCCATTTCTCTCCAGGCCCCTCCATCAGGGCTGCTGATCAGCCCCTCCTTTCTGATCAGGTCCCATTGATAAGCACAGAGATGCTGACTGGCATAGAAACCAACCAATCAGAACCAAATTGGCCAACCGAGGAGTGCAGTTGGGGGCAAGATCAGGCCTGCAAGAGAGGGCAATTAGGGGCAAGCAGGCAGGCAAGCAGGCAGAGAAATTGGGGATGATCAGGCAGGCAGGCAGAGGGATTAGAGGCAATCAGGTAGGCAGCCAGCAGTCCCAGACTGTAAGAGGGATGTCTGACTGTCAGTTAAGTCCCGAACCCTGTGGACTGTGCCTAAACCGGCAGTCTGACATCCCCAAAGGAATCACTGATTGAAAAATGTGCAGGCTGGGCTGAGGGAACTCCTCTTTGTTCACGAACTTCATGCACCAGGCCCCTAGTAAGTGTAAAAGGCAACACAGTTCCATTCATAAAACGTGCAGTTCAAAATTATAAAATTGGATTAGGATCCATTATTTAGCTCAGTTTCCAAAATTTGGAGCAGATTACTTAACCCATTTTACATGCTGTGACCTCAAATTTATATGCTCATCTCCTTGCACTTAATCCAGCTAAATCCTATCCTGAGGAGATTTCATTTACAATCTGACTCCCATTATTTCTTTGATTTTATTTCCTTTCATTCTCTTCCTAATTCACTCTGATAGCCTCTCAGAACTTTGTGGTTTTTCAACTGCCTTAAATATACCTGCCAGCAATACCTTTGCATGTGCTATTTTCTCCATCTAGAATGCTCTCTCTACATACCCTTGTGGTTACCTTCCTTTTCAGAGATCTTTTTTTAATAAGGTGAGATTTTCAGTGAGGTCTTCTCTGATGATCGATCCTATTTAGAACTCAAACACTCATCTGCCATCCCTATCCTCCTGCACTCCTCTTTCTCCTTACTGCTTTATTATTCTACAAAGAACTTATCAGACATCATATATTATACTATATACATGTTGACCATTTGCCCTTTGATTTACAGTGTAAGCTTTCTAAGGGCAAGGACAGTTTCTACTTTGCTTACTGCTCCATTTATTGGATCAATAGTTGGTACACAGAAGGTGCTCATGAAATATGTGTTGAGTAAATTCATATTTGATATCACATCTTCAAGATTGAGGAATTTAGTTATTCATAAATTCCCCTAAAGTGTTCAAAGTTCTCCTTCAATTTAGATACCATGCCCCATATTTGGCATTTTTATATGTAACCCTCATCTTTCATCACATTTCTCCTAAGAAATTGTATATTACTAGAGGTCCAGTGCACTAATTTGTGCATGAGTTGGGTCCCTAGGCATGGCTAGAGATCAGGGCCAATGGGGCAGCTGGTCGGCAGGTAGGAGGAACAGTGGGAGGTTGACAACCATCTGCCTATTAGGGTCAATCATGGGGCCTGCCCAGCTGGGGTGAAGAATCGCAGAAGGTTGGCCAGGTTGGGGTAGGGACTGTGGGAGGTTGGCAGCCCGACCAGGGAGAGAGACCACAGGAGTTTGGCCAGCTGGAAGAAGTTGCCTGTGGGAGCGCACTGAACACTAGGGAGCAGCTCATGTGTTGAGCGTCTGCTCCCTGGTGGTCAGTGCACATCATAGTGACCAGTTGTTCAGTCATTTGGTCATTTGGTTGCTTAGGCTTTTAGATAGATAGAGAGAGAGAGAGAGAGAGAGAGAGAGAGAGAGAGAGAGAGAGAGAGAGAGAGAGATAGAGAGAGATAGAGAGAGATAGAGATAGAGAGAGATAGAGAGAGATAGAGAGAGATAGAGAGAGATAGAGAGAGATAGATAGAGATAGATAGATAGAGATAGATAGATAGAGATAGATAGATAGATAGAGATAGAGATAGATAGATAGAGATAGAGATAGATATATAGAGATAGAGATAGATATATAGAGATAGAGATAGATAGATAAAGATAGATAGATAGATAGAGATAGATAGATAGAGATAGATAGAGATAGATAGATAGAGATAGATAGATAGAGATAGATAGATAGAGATAGAGATAGATAGATAGATAGATAGATAGAGATAGAGATAGAGATAGAGAGATAGAGATAGAGATAGAGATAGAGATAGAGAGATAGAGATAGAGATAGATAGAGAGATAGAGATAGATAGAGATAGATAGATAGAGCTAGAGATAGATAGAGAGATAGAGCGAGAGAGAGATAGAAAGAGAGAGATATAGAGATAGAGAGAGATATAGAGATAGAGATAGAGATATATAGATATAGATATATAGATATATTATAGATATAGATATAGATATAGATTCAAAATGAATTACTTGGTATAAATTTAGGGTTTCTATGGATTAGGGACATGTTCTTTGTACCTGAAATATTCCATATGTTTTCAAATACTATGAAACATTCACATGAATGCTTATACTGCTTCTCATGATTCACCTGAATTTTCAATGGCTGCCAAATGTCTCCTATGCCCAGAATTTACCCCCTCCCTCCACATATGGCTTGCTGTGAAAGGGCACAGTCTGTAGTGGTTGTGTGGTAAATATTGTTAAACCTAAGAATAAATCAGCATGCTTTGTATGTAAGCTGTCATTTTGTTAGAAAGTGACTAAGAGCCCAACTATCTATCTATGGAGGGAAAATGCCCTTTTCCTGTTGTTCACACTTCCCATATTGAATCCCAAAGAACACTATATTGTCAGAGGAAGTTCCTGGCTTAAAGTCATTTATCCAATCACCCCAAGTTCATGCTGCAGGTTGGAGAAATGCAAATACCAACCTCCCAAGATCTGGTTGTGACAGTTTCCACATTCAGGTTTCTGTCATTTTCACAACATTTCTCCCATAAAGAACATTGTCTTGAGGAGTTTCTCCTGCAAAAGATGCAAAGGGGTCAATTTGATCCAATGAAGAGGAGAATATAGCATTTAGACCTCAGAGAGGGAGGGTCCCCAGAATAACTGATAAATCATAGTCACTGAAAACAAGGGAATCATAGAGTTCGCTTATTTATATCACATATTTGTGAAACCTGGAGACCTCACACTAAGGAATTCCAGAGATTCTGAAAGGAACATCTGAATGGAATAATCCCATCCCCTTGGAATCAGGAATTTGGTAACCACTTTACAGAAGTGGGTTTTCAGGGGCATCACTTACCCTGTATTCTTCAACTGCCTCTTCCACTGAACAGTGTCTGTGAGCCTCATGCTCCTGGGAGGTAGAGCAGTGCAAACAGAGCAGGCTCCTCTGGTCCTCACAGAAGATCTGCTTTGCCTCAATGTGTATCCTGCACTCATTCTCCTTAGAACGTAGAAAATGCCCAAGATGGGCTTGTCTGGCAATGAGAACCTTTTTTTTTGAGAAAGACATCCGTGTGAAAGTCTCTCTGTTGGATTCTTTTCTGGCATTCAGAGCAGCGAGGAATAACTGACCTGTTTGGCCAGCTGAGGTGGAAACAGGGCCTGCAAAAGCTGTGCCCACAGTCTGTGGTGATGGGGTCTATGAAGCAGTTCCTACAGATGGAGCAGATGAGTTCTTTCTGGAAGATTTGCAAGCTGCAGGGATCCATGTCTCTGGAAAGAATTAGCAACAGTCATTTCTGGGCATTGGTTGGTGAGAGGTTCTGAACAGTTATATGAAGGTAGTGATGTTTATATATTTTTCTCTGTGCAATACTAGCAAAAGCAAGACAACCTATTTATGCCATCACACAGATGAAAACTGGAGTCAAGAAAGTGTCTTTGAGGTTTACCGCCGACATGATTCTCACTAGATGGCTCACCTAACCTTACACATTCAGTTCCTAGTCCTACCAAATACAAATGAGTGCAAGTATCCATTTCTAGGATGTTGTATAGCATTTTATTACTGCTCTTAATTGTTCAAAAATCAATCATAATTGTCCCCATTCTTCCTTTCAATAACTAGTTAGTGAGTACAGAAGTGTGAGATTTACCCACAAATCAATTTGGCCAATGAATCTGAGAAGATGGCCAGAATGGTTCTATGAAATGACTTCAGAGAGAAGGTCAAGAAAACCAAGTTCTCTCCTTTAAAACAAACAAATAAGGAAACAAAGAAACACAAATTGAACCAATGGAGATTCATTAGAAAAGAAATTATGAAAGAAATTCATCTGTTTTGAATTTTTGAGAATTAAATTAATTTCTGTTTATACAAACTCTGAACTGACATATTTTTAAAATATATGTATGTTATCACTACAACAGTATAGTGAATGTTCTATAAGTATTATTCTCTATAATGTTCTATAATTCATATTTCTGGTATAAAAATATAGGCTAAAATTTTAGGTAAATATTTTTGTGGGTTTTTTAATATAAAAATGTATATTAATTTTAAACTAAAATATACGTAATTATTTGCAGCTACAAATTTACTTTCACAGTACTAAGAGTTGACTTTTTTATTTTTTTTCCTCCTGTGGGAGCATCTTTTATTTTGTTCATCCTCCCCCAAGGATATTTTTTTCCATTGACTTTTAGAGAGAGTAGAAGGGATGGGAGAGACACAGAGAGAGATACATTGATGTGAGAAGAGACACATTAATTGGTTGCTTCCTGCGTGGACACAAATTAGGGCCAGACTACAACTGAGGTATGCTCCTCAACAATAATAAAACATGAGACCTTCAGTCCCTGGGCCATTTCTCTAACCACTGAGACAGCCCACTAGATCACACCCATCTCCTTAGATTATAACTCTCAGGTATTTAGCAAGATTACCCTAGGAGTTTATAATCTCATAACAACTCCATTTGGCCCATTGATTAAATTCTTACCCATCTTTGTTTCTAAAAACAACTCTCTGACTCATGCATCTAAAACATAAATGGTATCATAGTAGACAGATGCTCAACAATTATCTTGGGATAATTTGCATACTTGCTCCTGATTGGCTGGTGGGTGTAGCAGAATAATGGTCGATTTGCATGCGTACTCTTTTATTAGTATAAATAAGTGTAGATTCTTCATTGCATTCTAAAAACAAACTACTTCCTTTTTAAAGTGACAGATATTACATACATAGTAAATCCCATCAATGTTCTATAAAGTGGCACAAACACTTTACTAGGAAGTACTGAAGCAAAATTCCCTGTGGAAATTCAGAGTTGGTCTCCTTCCAGCCTCTGGTCATAGCAAGCTCATCTTTCAGTTAGTACATAACTTTGACTTATCTGTTTTTCTATTTAAAGACATCTTAGTTATTATATAATGTATATATATTATCATTGAATTCATAGCCAACAGCACTAGAGCTCATTTCTTAAAGTCATTTATCTAACAGATACATTATCTCCATAAGGCATATCTCAGTGCTTTGGTACTGAGGCTGGGGGCCATTTTAAACTGTGATGTCACCAACAAACAGCACTAAAATGCCAAAAACCTGGCATAATAAACCATGGAAAAGAACTTACTATATGAGCTTCTCCTGATTCAAACTCTGCTTGGAACATTCAATTGACATGACTCAAATTTCTCCTCAGTGCAAGTCCAAGAATGGCTAGGAAAACATCATGAGTATTAGTTTTAGAATTACAAATAAGTTTTAGTGAATAAGCAAATTTGCAACTACAAAACATTCAAATAATGAGGAAGGGCTAAAGGTATTTTTTTTCTTGGTATGCTATATCTATGTGTTTTTATATGAAAATGAAATAAAGGCAGGAAATTTGGGGAGAGCTATATATTATTTTCTTTTTAAAAATGTGTTTTTTATTGATTTTCAGAAAGAGAGGAAGGCAGAGAGGGAGAGAACCATCTCTTACCTGGCTCCTCCACACCCCACACCTGGTATTCAACCAGCAGCTGGAAACCCAATGGTCTGAGACATTTGTCACTGTCAGTGAGGCTTTTCTGGACCAATACACACTTTTTTGTTGTTTGGATTGTTGTTCAAGGATTGTATATGCCTTTCCTTAAAGGACTTTCACTGATGAAGTCAGGACTTGAAAATTTCTTTAGCTCACAATGGAAATAAGGAACTTTAGTTACACCTGCTGTCTACTCACAGCATCAAGTAGTTAAGCCTTTGATTGAATAGCTAGGCAAGAGGTGTGTTTAAAAAAAAAAAAAAAAAAAGGTTGCTGCCTCATTTTTGTCCTTGTAGATCTGCCTAGCCAAGTTGACACATCAAAAAGCTATCATAAGTTGATATGACCTTAAATTTAAGAAATATAAGAACAGGTCTTTTTGTTCCATTCTTGGTGTTTTTATTTTTCTAAAACAATGCATTGATAATGTTAATAAACATTTCTGATTACATTAGCAATAACTTGAAATTTTAGCCTCTAAGGTCACTCGCTGTGATCTTGATTGATAACTATGAGGTTTGTTTGTTTTGTTTTGACTTCCATATAATTCAGTACTGTGGATTTTTTATGCATGTATGCTTTAGATGATTAATAAAACCCTTTAGTTAAAATCATGCAAGGTAACAGACAAAACAAATAATTACAGAATATTGTCAGTTGAATAAGACGAATAACATGTAGTATATACCATTAAATGACAACAATATTTCAGAACATTCATTTCCTATTTATATATTGAGATACTGAAAATACTATAAAATGAATCTGTAGTGCACATTCTTGATTGTGAGAAATTCTATTGGAAAGATTGCTAAAGATGATATAGCTGGGTTAAGGGGTATGTGGGAAGACCACTGGGCAGTCCTAAATTTTAGCTTTAAGTCAGAAAAATCTGTTTCTTAAGAAACATTTATTTCAGTTCAAAGTGAAATATTGAAATATGTAACTATTTTTCCAAGTCATTGAGTGCTTATCTCATTAAACATAGAATATCATCTCTCTTGTGTCATCATGTTTCAAGTAGGTTGTAATGTGTAACTACATATATTTTTCAATAGAATCAAATACTCCTAAATGTTTTTAGAATCTACAACCATGCACAAAACTACAAGATATCTTGCCACTATTTTCTGAACAGTAGTTCCTAGGAACTACGAAGGATTAATAGAATGAGAGAACTAAAATTAGTCATCATATTAATTTGAAAACACCAAACAAAACATTAATGAAGTCAGTTTTTGTAAGTTAGCAAACAATGTGATTTTATAGAAACAACCTCAGTTTGCTGATACAGTAAACTCACCACTGCTTGCACAAGAAGTATTAATAGAAAGAGGTCCTCTCAGGGATCAAGCCTTCCAAGCATGGTGAGAGTAGCTCTCAGAAGTCTCCCAGATAAGTTCCAAGCACACTCCCTGTGTTCTGGAAAGAGAGAGTTTGGCTCCTTATATGGAGTCCCTGAAGGCCACACCCATTTTATTTCCAGGTGATGTTTTTTGAGAGCTCTCCAAAGAGCTGTTCTTTTGTAAATGGAAGGTTAGCAACACCTTTGCTAATCTCCCTAAATATACCTCTACTAACACAATCTCATCCAGGCATCAATTTCCCAACAAACCCACCCTCACACACTGTCTTTATAGCTACATTTATGGACATCAGAACTTTTATTTGTAACTTACAAACAGATAGAAGGGATTATTTTACTAATAAGTGATTTTAGTGTATGTCCAAAAATTTGGAAATATTGTAACTATGTTCTGTTATGCAGACAGTGCTTTATTTTGGGTATAATTTTATTATTATTATTTTAATTCTATTATTTATTATTTTGTTGTTATTTTAATAGATTTTTATTGTAGATTGAGTACTGAGTAGTGTGGAAGGGATAGAGACCAAGAAAGGGGGGGGGAGAGAAAGAGAGAGAGAGAGAGAGAGAGAGAGAGAGAGAGAGAGAGAAACATCAACCTTAGAGTGACACAGATTAGTAGCCTCCCTTACATATGCGACCATGTCAAGGATAAATCCTGCACTCCAGATGTGTGACCTTGATTGGGAATAGAAGCACAGGCTGTTTTTATATTTTAATGTAAGGATTTAGTATAAGAACACCTTGGCCACAATTCTTTTATATTAATCCTCATCCAAGAATATGTTTGTTGATCAGAGAGTTTGAAGAAGGGAGAGAAAGGAGAGAGAAATAACTTCAATGTGAGAGAGAAACATTGATGGGTTGCATCTCCCAGGTAGAACAGGACTTCCTGTTCCTTTTGACCAGAAGTTAGTATTTTCCTTTCTGTGGCTGAAGGAATATGTGTTGTCAGGCTCAATGCAAACTTTTCTGGAAGATGGTCGTTTTTGGTTTAATATTGGGTCGGCAGCTAAGTAATTGCGGGTTTCACACACTTATGGCTTCAGTTGAATTTTTAGGTTTGCAGACGTAGTACAAATGTAAAACACATTTTGTTATTTGGTAGTTGGCTATTCAGCTGTTAATCAGTGAAAAAAAGTTTTTTGATCTGTTTTGTAGTTTTCGTTTGGTGTTCGTTGAAAAATGGAAAATCAAAAGGAACATTTTCATCATATTTTGCTTTTTTATTTCCACAAGGGAAAAACGCATTGCAAGCTCATAAAAAGTTATGTGCTGTTTATGGTGACGAAGCCTTAAAAGAACGGCAGTGTCAAAATTGGTTTGCCAAATTTCGTTCTGGTGATTTTTCACTCAAAGATGAAAA